AAAGGTTTTTTCTTTTTCATTGTAACTTTCTTAACACTTTTTGCATGAAGTTTTTTTCTTTCTTTGGTTCAAACAATTGACTACATGACAAGAAATACCTCCATAACCTGTCTGAGCCTGCCCCTCACAACCTAGAAAACTTTATGTGGGCTGCTAAGGTCCATAATTAGAAAGATTATTGGGCTAAAACGAGTTCATTGCCCAAACTTCACAGTGTCTGAAATCTGAATCTGGTGGCCGAAGCCTGAGCCGGGCCAGGATTTCCATTTCGAGTCCCTGTGTACAAGACCAATTTAAAGTGAAGCATGGTCTTGAGGTATTTCATGGGCTTCGGCTGTCAGGTTTCTTGCAAAAATCTTGGACCAAAAGGCCGTAATGGTAGATAGACTGGTACATAGCAGTAGTTGTCTCTTTTTGGTGGATTTATCGATTTTGTTTCTAGCCTTGTAAAAGAATTGAAGATAGGAACGGGGCGTCATGATTTCATGCCTCATGCCGGTTTTGCTACAACATCGATGCTACCTGGTGAAATGGTGCCCAACCAGAAAGTTGTTTCTGCCATTGATAGCGGATCTTCATTCTCCTGCTGCAACTTGTACCCATAGCTAGGGAGGGAGGGCCTAGAGCCAAAAGGCCTCGGCAAATTCTGGCAACTAGGGTGGCCTAGATATAGACCTTTTTACAAAATGATTACAGCGTTCAGGTGGAGACAGATGCAGGACTTGAACTTTTCAGGGGAAAAGGTTGAAGGAACAGATCCGATGAGTCTTTAAATGATCAATCTACCCAGAACTTTTTTTTCTCTTTTCGGCTTTTAGCTCATGATTATATCCAATTGGTGAAAATAATTTGCTCTTTTAACTCAATCCCAGAGTGTTCACCATGGCTAAAACATGGCCCCAAGACCAAGAAACGAAGGAGCCAGAGCCTCTGCAGGCCGCTGCAGCTTGAGAAATCTGACCAGGAAGGCATGCTTTTGCGTGGCAATATCTGTATATCCTTTAAGATCGTCTTAAGTCGTAGTTTTTCGTGTCGGGCATGTGCTTTGTGATTTCGCCGTAGAAGGGAGAGCCCTTGATATAGGAAGATGACCATAAACAAACTTCCAACCAAAAACAAAGATGATTCCATGTGCATTTGAATTTGAAGTTACCTTCCTCATTTCAACATCCAAGATTGACACTGAGTGAAGAACGTCTGCTGGTTGACTCCCTCCATCCACATTCAACTTCATTTTTCCTTGGTTCAGATTTATTTATTACAGGTAATCCACATTTTTGTCCATTATTTTTCCTTTTAGAAGTAACATTAAAGTTCGGATAAGCAGGTTTGTTTCGGCCCAAGATGAAAAGACTGGGGAAAAGATTTGAATCCCACCAAAAGTAGCTTATGCCTTCTGCTGTTTGGCGCCCAGGAAAATTACGGGACTTCCTTTAAATTTCGTTTTCCTTTTTCTTTTTCCATCCTTATCCTATCTCTACACCCTTTTTTTTCTCTCTTTCTGGGAATTTTTCCTTTTTCCTTTTGGCCAAGTTATATAGACCACACAATCCACAAAACCATAGAAATTTGGTACAAAATATAACAAAAAATCAACACAAAATTGAGAGAAATCAAACCCCACAAACATCAATTACTACTATGTTAGGAAAAATAGAATGAAAGCTTCATCTTCTTACACTTCGCTTCCTCAAATTCTTCTCTTCCAACTCCCACAATATAGTTAGTTAAGCACTACAAAGAACACTACTACAAATTAACAAGAAAATAAACTAAGGAAAAATCACCAAAGATTACACTTGAAAATGGTTAGATACCCATTAAAGATCCTATTATTCTTGCTCTAAATATATTTTTAGCCAAAAAAAATTATTAAGCATAAACAGAACCATAGGAGAGAGCCATTAAAAGTACGGCGGCTTGTTCTTCTTCTCCCAACTTTCTCCTTTGCTTCTCAACCGTTGATCTTTGCATCAAACCTTCTCTCCCTAACGATAACAATCGCTGCTTCAAATTATCTCCTAAATTTTTTGAACTACTGTTGCTTCCTCTCTTTGATTTTTTGTCTTCTCCTTTGTTTAAACCCAAGATTGCCCTTCTCTTTTTCCTGCTTCTGATCCCACATGCATTACAGAGAGACTGCAAACAGAAAAGTGATAAAACAACAAAACAAAATCAGATCAAATCCAAACAAGAACAAAGATAAAAAAAAGTTCGAGAAAAGGTGGAAAAATAATACCTTGGGGCCAGCTGGGCCACCTCTCCAAAGAGGGGTTTTAGAGGTACCACAATCAGCACAAGTTTTCTTGGTTTCATTGCTAAAGCTTTGATTCTGGGTTTCCTTTACTGAAATCCCTTCTGAGTATTTCTTACTTCGATCTTCAGATTCTGATCCCTGCAGAGAAGGAACAAAGAGAAAATCAGTTACAAAAAATAGGAGGCTAGGCTTAGGATCAAATCAAGAACTATTTCAAAAGCAATGATCACTCACTTTTTCACTTGGATCCAGCATTTTTACTAGATATTTTGAAGATCTGAAAACAACCCAAGTTGTAAAAGAACTAGAAGTTCAAATGGGTGGTAAAAAACAAACGGCTAGCTTGGATAAGAGGAAAAAAAATGAAAATAGGGGAAACAGGGTGTACAAAGGAAAGAGATCAAGTGACGTTGTGAGTAAAGGAGAGATTTAAATAAGTAAAACCCAGATGGAGAATGATGCAAAACAACAAAGACAAAAGCAGTAGGAAGGAACGGATGGAACGATAGAGAGAAACAGAAAGAATAGAGAAGAGATCAGAGCAATGGAGAAGAAGAAAATGAAATGAAAGTTTGGGTTTTGAAGGGGCTCTGTTTTTAGGTGTCAACCGAGAAAGGAAACCGACATGCAAATGGAAAGAGGGGGAAAGTGACGGAGACTGTGAATCACACTCTCTCTCTGTGGAGGAGAGATTTAGAGAGAAACAGACAGTGAGAGAGAGAGAGAAAACAGAGGAATCAAACCGACACAAAACACCGCACGCAGGCAGATCTAAAAATCTATTTATAAATGGGACGCGAAACCCTAGCTCTGTGGCTATGAAATGACTTTAATGCCACTGGTTGTACAGTGTTTATCCCATGTTGCCACCCGCCAAAATCCCCCAAAAGGCAAAAAGGAGGAAAAGAGGGCTCCTGAAATGAAGAAAAAAGGGCGCCATTGAGTTGGTTTTTTTCGTTTGGTTTGGCTCCAAAATTTTGATTTTGTCCACCGTTTGTTTTCCCGGAAAATCTTTGGATTTGATAGTGTCATCATATGATAAAAGACGCTACACCCACATTTTCCTTTCCATGCTCACCATTAGATCAATTGCTTCAATCATTAGTCATCCTCACTGGTACCTCTTTGAATCATCCTATACTCACTTGTTAGCGTGATTGACTGTATATTAAGAATTTGTCGTGTGTCGCTTTCACCATCAAGATTAACATAGCCGCTCGTGAAAAATAAAGTAGGTGATTATCAAAACATGAGTCCATTTCATTTCTTAATTCCAAATAATTGAAACAGTTTTGAACCAAATAACACGTTTAGAAGTTTATTGAGTTTCGTTTTTACGATCAAAATCATTGTTATAACTCATGATTATAAAAACTTGAATCCATTTTGCTGTGTTTTTTTTTTATATATATATTTCATGTGATTGAAATGGGATTTTATTAAGATTTTGTTTATGGTGTAATCCAAATTAAATGGAAATAGGAGGAAAGAAAATTTGGGGCAGGAGATTTGAATGCTGTTTATGATGTTGTCGAGGTTAATATGGAACAAGGTACATAAATTGGTACGGGATGTTAAAAGGATATATTGACTCAGTGGGGGTGCAAGTCAAAAGAGTAATGGGACCCTGATGTCATTCACCAAACCATACAGCAGAAGATCTCCCCGTTATCATTTTTTTTCCCATTCTTCCCTTAGGACAGGAGAGAAACTATATATATATAACAATTTTTCAGCCGAAAAGGTACTCATTCACACCTTCAATTCACCAACAAAACGTCAAAACGAAAAAGGGTTAAAAAAGGGTGTCCATCCTACATAACTTAGCTTGGAAAAACTTAAGAATGGAAACCTCTTTTTGGAGGCAACAACAAGCCCTTTGGGTTAATCACCTCATAGCTTGTTTCAATCAAGCTTTTGACTTCAATTAATATTAACTTGTATGGAAAATGTTGAAGACAGATCAGAAAGCACAAGGCAAGGGAAGAAGAGCTGATGTTCCTATCTCTTTGGGGTGTGGGAAGAGAGGGATGAAGAGTATGCATCGCCACCACCAACACCATCATCGTCATCATCAGGGGATAACAATCAGATCAAAAGAGATGCAATGAAGGGACAAAAAGATCTGCCCGATAATTGTTGTTGCAGTGAAGAGAAAATGAAAGGTCCTTGAGCCCTTTTTCTAAATTGTAGTCAATACCCAGACAGTAGAAAAGGGACGACACAATGGTAATAGAAAGGTGGTACACAGTGACACTGAAGGAGGGGGGGCAAAGGGAGATAAGAACGACGATTGCTCTTTCTTCGATGACGGTAAAATAATCAATAGGGGATACAAGGCTTTTCTTTTTCTCTCGGAATCTGTCATGATTCTTTCCTTAATTTCTACTTCTCGTGGTAGCTTCACAAGGTAAGTGTTGCACGGGTTTTAGAACTGAAGCTCAATTTTGCTGTGGGTAGAAGGTTTTTCTTTGTTATTATCTAAAAGCTTAAAAGCAAAGGACAAATTGAACGGCATTTGCCCTTGGGGCATCGGAAAGGTGAAAGTCCTTTGAAGACTAGATTCCTCATTGATCTCCTAATAGAGATTGGCCCATTCTTCTCAAGCTATAACGTCCCCAGATCCGCTGGCCCATTCCCAAAAGTAGGTTTGCCCTCCCAAAAACAGTAGCAGAGATGAATTCTATGGAACGGTAAGCATAATGATCCTTAGATGACAAATACACACACAAATGCAAAGATATGCTGGTAATTTCTTTCTTTTCTTCTCGCAGTAGACCACAGAATGAGGTTTATCGATACTCAATAACCAACACTATTCACATCATTAGACAGCAATACCAACCATCCAAAAACTGAAAAGAAAAAAATCATGACTCAAAACAAACACAAGGTGACTACCTCAGCTCGGTTACCCCCTACCAGTATCATTCCCATTCAAGTGAAACCGCCCCGTTTATACTATGACAAAACCCAAAGGGACACCTCCCATGGCATTTGCATTGTACCATTTGACATGTAATTTCTTGGTACAAGACAAGCGAAATATATTGCAGACAACTCGTCCGGTCGCAATGGTACTCACCCCCTCTATGTTCAGAAACGCGGTATTGATAGACCTGACAGAGTACCTCCTTGACCACAGTGGACACTGGACAGACTATAACTAGACACGTCAATGTGCCCTGACCAAACTTTGACCCCAAGTATCAGTCATAACTCCAGCAAACTGCTTGTTCTATCCAACCAGCTATAAAGCCCTGCAATTTCAGTAAACTAGATCAGTAGAGCTAACTTCATCAGATAACCGATCACTCCAAGTTTGGGGTTCAAATCCAGCAAAAGAAAGTATATTTAAGTAAACATTTTACAAACCTTCAGCTGAAGTTAAATCCACCAGATGGAACCTGAAGCCCATTAGCTCCAAACTGGAAACTTTGCTGAGTACCATCACCAGGAGGTAGTGTCTCCTCCTCCTCCTCCTCCTCCAACCAGTAAGTCTCAAGAATCTTGACTGCCTTCTCATAGATCTCATTATTATCATGACTCTGTAGATTTTCAATCTTTTCTAATCCCTCAGCATCTTCTATCATTCGGGCGCAAAAGTTAAAGTCTCCAACACCTGCAACCTTCTCAGCTTCACCTACCTTCAAAATATTTTCCAACCCTTCTAGACAGACAGTTATAATTCTTGGATCAGGGCATGTAAGGAGATCACACAAAGGTTTTATGCATTCCTGACTAATCAGATACCTATAGTCCACAAAAGGAGAATGATTTTGTGATCAGTTATATGACAAGGGAACCGAGGAAACAACAACAGAATGAAGTTCAACAGGACAAAAGTACCAAGTACATAACATACTTGATTTGCTGATGAGCGCCACCAGAAGTAGCATTTGAAATTGCCCATGCTGCTTCTTTCTTTATATCAAATTCAGCATTTTGAAGTAGGTTGACCAGGGGCTCAATTATCCCGGCATTGATCACAGCCTACAACAATTTTAAAATATAATAACCATAGCCTAATTAAAAACTTCCAAAAGCAAAAGGGCCAGTGGATCAGTAAGATCAGAAAATGTTGAAAATTGCTTGAGGTTAAATTTGCCATGATTTACTCACCTGAATCTGTTCCTTGTTTCCCGCTGTAATATTTGAGATAGTCCAGCAAGCTTCTTTTTTTATGCTCTTTTTATGATTATGGGTCAACAGGCTCAGAAGGCATGCTAATGCACCATGGTCAATAATGCACTGAAATAGAAGGCCAGAAAATCATGACAAATGAAATAATAATAATAATAGTAAACAGATGCAGAAGAACTAAAAATTAAGAATGATGCAGAATCCTAAATAATACCTGAGTCTGTAAATCATCTCCTGTCACAATATTTCCAACCGTACGGAGAGCAGGGATCAGCACTGAAGGAGACGGATTACTGCTACAACACATGCATAAACTATCAGGTTCACATAAAAGTGAAAAAGACCAAGATGTTTTTAAGTGTTCTACTCACAGCAAGAGCTCAACGAGTCGTGGGCAAACTCCTGCCTCAATCACAGCTTGAATTTTGTCATTTGTACCATCAGACAGATATGAGAGAGCCCAACAGGCATCAGTCAGAACTTCTTCATCATTTGAATGAACAAGACGTTCAAGCGCAGGAAGAGCCGGCCTCACCTAGCCAACAGATCCCAACATTTAAAGCTTAATTAAAGTCATAAAAGAAAGGAAGGGTTATAAAAAAAACAATGCACATACAAGATGAAAACCTGATCAAAAGGAGGCTGTGGCTTGCCCCTGCAGAAATTTGATAATGTCCAAGTGGCATTTCTCAGCATTGACAGCTTAGCATGTTCATTCAATCGTGCTAAAAGCGGCATCAAAGCTCCATGACTGAGAACAAAATCACGACATCTAGGGGAATCACCAGCAACATTCCCCAATGCCCACACGGCCTAAAAGTTAACAAACAAATCACTCACTACAAAGTTCTATATTCTCTTCACCAGTTAAAACAACAACTATCCTAGAATTGCAAGTCTCAAACTTATTTTAAAGGATAAAAATTTTGAGATATACCTGTTCACGAACATCATCACTTGGGGAACCAAGAAGCTTTACAAAAATTGGAACAGCCCCGTTATCAATAACTACCTTTGTATTCTCCGAGGTTCCAGAGGCAATATTTGTAAGTGCCCAAGCAGCCTCAAACTATAGATTTCCCAACTATATTAGTATCAATTCAGCATATAAATCAAGTACAGAAAATACTTATCAGCAATCGAAAACATTTACCTGAAGCTGTGGAAAATCTTCCCTCGTGAGAAACTCGACAAAGCGTGGAACGACACCGGATTGTATCACTTCCTCAATTGGGGGACTCCGCTCTGTTAAAAAAATGATAAACAGATTTTATGTAGAAATATTAAAATAACACTTAAAAATTAATAAATAAATAAAGCGAAATGCATAAATAATACCAATTGAGAGCAGTTTTCGGAACTGAGTCGTCGCCTCCAGCTGGGCTGTGCCGTTATCAGACCAAACGCCGGCAACCAGCGACGGAAGACTCTCCAACTACAACAACAAACCCTAAATCACTTAAACTTCGAAAGAAAAAAAACAAGAGGGACGAATTTGAGAATTTTTTTATTAGGCCGTAGTGTTTTACTTTCTTTTCGGCGTTAGAGGACTGAAGAGAAGCAGCGAACTGCTGAGCTTGGAGGCCTTCGCGGCGCTTCTTTTGTAAACTCTCTTCGCGCTTGCTTTTCCGGATCTCCACCATGTTGTCTTCTCTTCTACGGCGCCCTTCCTCCGCGTCTACCGCCACCTTGTACCTGTTACGGCGGACCTCGGTTCTGGTACTTGGTCTCAACGACATGGCGGCTACTGTTCTTCAGGAAGCCCTAGAGGAAGGACAATGCTCGAAGAAAATCGAGAGTTTTACGAAGGATCGAGAGAAGGAAAAACCCTAGACAGTTTTGGATTGAGAAATTCTTCTGTAGAGTAGTTAAAAGCAAAAAAGCCGAAGAGAGGGAAATGAGAATTAGCGATGGCTCCAGAATTAAGAGGGACAAGTGGGCAAAAAAAAAAATCTTTTTTAATTTTTTTAAAAATTTTCCTTCTAATTTTATTGTTACAATAAATATATATAATATAATATTTTAAAATATATTTTTAATGATCAATTTATCCATCTAATCGGTTGTAAAGTTTAGACACCTAATAATTGAATAAATTATTATTTTTAATTAACTAATATTAAAATTAAAAAAATTGAATTAATCAAATTCAATCGATTTCAAATAAATAACTTCAATTTAAATCGATTAGTGCTTACATTTTTATATTCATATGATTTTTAATTAAAAAATAGTTATAAAAATTTATAAGCTTGTAACCAAGAATATCATGGAAGTAATTATATAGTTGATCAAGATTTAAATGGTGTAATTTATTCTTGAATATTTGACATTTGTATTGTGGTATTATACAAATATAAAGATTTTAAGAGCAATGATTATCTTTTATTCATTAAAGTAATGCCCACATTTCTTTTTATTCTTTTTTTTTTCATTTGACTATTTTTTATTTTTTTTAAACATGAAAAATGCAAAAGAATCAATGGGTCCATATGAATAAGATGTACTAAAGCATATACTCTTTTGATCCTCCAAAGCCTCTGGCAGCCCAATTTAAGTTTGGTTTTTTAGTAGGAGCAAGTCTTTTTTCTTTGGTTCCATCCCAAGTCCATGAGTCATTAATCTTAATTTTAGGAGTATTAAATCTGTTTTAATTTTGGTTTTTAATTGGTTACTTAATTTTATTTATTTTGTTATTTGAATCGATTTTCTATGTCTAAAATTAAAATCGAACCCCGATAGAAAAACCAATTATTAAACATATATATTTAAATATATAATACAATATTTATAAAAATATTATTAATATATATAATATAAATTTCTGAAAATAGTAAAATCCAATATAAATCGGTTTTGAATATTTTAGTTTTATAGTATAGTTGATCAATTAATTCAATGTGCAACAAAAGTTGTTTGATTGTGTAAAGAAGGAAAATTGTCTGCAAAAATCAAATGAATACAATTTTCTCATTCTTTTCTTGTGTGTAGCCATTTGCTCAGAAAATGCAGCCCTAGCTTGTGCCTTCAGCTTTGCCAAGAGGCACACAGGGCATCTATTTGCTTTTGCTCTAGACATTATTCCATTGCTTGCTGAAATCCCATGAATACAAAAACGATGGCGGTGGTTCGTTTGGAAACTCTGTGATCACCGGATCCTCTCTGGCAACGGTTGTCATCCGATGGGGTGGTGAGCCAGGTGGCGACGCGTACAGGGCGGAGGTCGCAAGGACCTCTTGCTGCACGTTTTGCTGTTCTTGGAACATTTTTTGTGCATGCAATGCTGTTAAGTAGAGGCCTGCAGCCAGGAAAACTGTAAGCAATGAGAACACACCAGCAGCACAGAACAAGCCTTCTCTGACGATGAGGCAGCTCTCTCTTGGTTTTGACCAGTTCTTCAAATGGCCTGACTCCACGCTAAGCCCAATCAACAACAGGATCTCTCCGACAGCAAAGCAAAGCCTGCACAGAATCAATGGAATTTTAGACTTGTTTCCATACGAAACGCAGCTGCTTTGCCATTTATTTGTTGTTTAAAGAAAAAAAGATGCGGAGTAAAGCAGATTCTGCAAGATGTTTGTGAGTTAAATGGTATTATAATCAAAAGGGTAGCCGCAAGGCACTGTAAGGAGAATGACTTGTGATGCAATCAAGATGCAGAAGCAAGAACAGATTTCGCATCAGATAGGACTGAGGATTTGAAAAGGAAAATTGTACTGCATCAGACGTCCTACCAGGTCGTGACAAAGAAAAATCCTCCCTGCCAGGTGAGAGTCTTGGCACGAGAGGAATCAAGGTCCCAGGAAAGCAGAGCAGGCGGTGGCGATTTGCTGACTGCAATCAACATGTACATATGTTCCACCACCATGGCAGCAGCGAGTCCCACAAATGCCACAGCAGCACACAACAATGGTGTCTTGCCGCTACTGCTGTACGCACATTCATATTTCACTTCCTTCCCATTAGCATCGGTGCCCACCCATCTTTCCTGCAAGATAATATACATGTCACAATTGTAATCTGAATTGAATTTCTTTTTCCATCGGAAAGGTAAATCAAAGAACCTGGGAACGAGTGGCTTCTGCTATGAGGCAAAGGATGAAGCAAAACAGGCCGCAGAGAATGGTTAAAACCATAAGGACAACACCAGTCCTGCTGCCCAATTCAGTGCTTCGACGACTTGGTGCAAGATCAGCATGTGTGACAGCCACTGTTTTAGGCATTTTTTAAGTCCCAAAAGAGACAGAATTCATGCAGGCACCCTGGAAGAAGACTACATGGAGGATTAAATGGTTTGCGGGACGAAAGGTGAATAGAACTATAGAATTGCTTGGACCAAAGGTTGCTTAAAGGCCAAAGATTCCAAGGTTCTGGGCGTTACTGTTAAGTATTCACACAAGGAAGATTGTCGGTTCTAAAATTTGGCTTTCAAAGGCTTATTCTGCATATTTTGAGATAACAGTCACACAAAAATATATAAAAAAGTCTCAGGCCACAACTTGCTTGCTCATGATAGACACGTGTATAATTCAATGTCGAGTTCTCACTTTCTCTCTCTCACCATCTTTGGCTCAAAGTGCATTTCTGGTCCTCTTTCTTTTCTTTTAGTCTTTGGCTCAAAGTGTACCATTTCTTAGCTCTGTTTTATTTAGTCATTCGCAAATGAAGAGATTCCCTGCTGCAACCACAGAGAATGTTCTTCAGTTTCACATCTTAGACCCCACGATTTACCTGACCCACCATTTCTTATGATTGTGTTCAGCATGTTCTGTATCTCATTCATCATCACATCAACTTTTCTGAGCCACGAATACCAGCAACCATATCCCAAGAGAAGTTACTATAAAGGGGAAGTTACCATTTGTGGGACTTTAATTTTGTTACTATGAAACAAAATACAAATATAGAAAGGTAACAAGGCACAACTCAGCTGCGATTATATACTTGGACAGTTGGACTTACTTCTGTTGGTAAAGAAAGGGCAATAATTTTCAAATTATAATAAAAGCTAAACAGTTTGCCTTCCAATGTTGACCAAGCAAAACATTAGAGTTCGTAGGCAACCATGCACTACAAAAGAACAAATGAAAGAATGGGCTCAAAGAATATTTGATGTCGGTTTGCAGCGGTGCGTTCTGATCTGGTCTAGTTTGTTCTGAGAATAATATTTTTGTTATATCTCTGTTCATACTTAAACAGTTAAATTTTATGTTTGAAAAAGTTGTTAATTAAAAAAGTGAAAAAATTATATAGATTGGGAATTGTTGATTATGGGAATCGGACAATGAGATCTTTACTCGAGAAAGGAGTTCAAAAATTCCTTTCGCATGGCTGAATTTGGAAGGAGAATGAAGGGCAACAACCATTTTCTTTGCAAACCTACTATTGGCTTCTAAAAAGCTTAGCTTACAGGTATCCTAGCGCATCTCCATTCAAATTGTCCCCTCCCAGCATTGGACAGTCTGATGAATCATGTCCGAACTGCCCACAGCAAGACCCAGAAAAATGTCTCCGCTTTCGAGCAATGTCAATCCCATCTCTTGACCTTCTGTCCTTAATCTTTCCTGAGGTGAGAGATTCATGAGAAGTCCCGATGGTGAAGCTCTGAACGATTCCATCAGTGTCTTCTACCTCTGGTAGAATCAAGTCGGAGGGACAATTGTAGACAATGTCATTTGCACTATGTGTTGGCCTAGGAAGGTCCTTGATGCGGGATAAAACCATGGCAGTTTGCTCACAAGCAACATCAAGACGTTCCTCTGTTTCAATTGATTCTGCTATAAGTGTTGAAGCCATGGACTCTAACAACTGAATCTTTTCAGAATGCTGTCGCGTCGCATTCCTTAGCAGGTTTGTGGAAGATGAACTATTAATACGCCAACGGCTGGGAAGATACTGTTCTGGAATATGGAAACAGTTATTGCTTGATAGAACACGAAGAACATGTCTGCAAAGGATGCCTGAAAACTCAAAGTGATGGCAACTACAACTAATGTGCTCTTCACATGGCACCCAAAGCACTTTGCACCCTCCATCCATCTGGGTATGGTGTTTGACCTGGAAGCAACCTTCGTCTACCAGAAAGGATGCATATTGCGGAGCCAATAAAAGCTCTTCTTGGAGCTTACCAAAGGCGTAGGGCGTAAGAACAGTAGCTGCATGAGATTCAATTGGTGAACCTGTTTTGAGGCAGACTTTCTGCAGTTTCCTTTGCATCTTTTGCTTAGAACCAGCACGGTCATTAAATTCAACAATCTCAGCCACCTGCAAACACAAATGTTCAAGTAAGATTAGGCATAGTGAAATTTACATCAACTGGATAATCAAGAGGAAAGGAAAAAATCAAAATTTGCGCACTTGCTCTACAAAACGATCTAGTTGTGACTGTGCACTCAAAATCCGTTGGATGAAAGCATTAATAGTCTCTGATTGACATGAACTCGTCAAACCTGCAAAGAAATAAGGCCTCAAAAATGGCAAAGCCCAAAAAGTCCGCAATGCATATAAGCTGATAATGTGCTTATTTTCATGGAGTCCATATTTATCAACCATGTCCCTCCATTCTTCTTCAAAATCTTCTAATAATTCCAGAGTATAAAGCTGATAAAAATCAGATTTCCAATCATCATATCGTGACCCAAGCAGAAGAGAGAACCAATCTGAGAACTTTGAGATTATGTGCCAGATGCAAAAGGCATGCTTGGTTTCAGGCATTTCAATAGCAATAGCCTCTTTCAGCCACATATTTTGGTCAGTTAGTAGGGTCTGTGGAGCCTTTCCTTTCATGAAGCCCAGAAATGTCTGCATAAATATAGGAACATGAAGAAGTAGAAAGGATATGCATTTACAAGATTAAAAAAAAAAGGAATAATATATGGGAAATCAGAGAAGCAGAGGAACTAGATGCTTAAAGAACAAAA